CCCGGCCGGGGAGCGTGGACAGCCCCCGCGCTGGGGTATTGTTTCCAGCTCGCCCGGGAACGGACGAATTCTGGTCCCTGATCTGCTCGCGCTCACACCCCATCCACACCTCGTCCAGTGAGATTTGGGGAAGAGCGTTTGGGAGCAGCTTCGGGGGAGGAAAAAAAAGTGAAAGTTTTTTAAAAAGTACTTTTTGTGGTCGTTCTAGACTCTAGAAGGGCCTCCGCAGACATGCCCTGGCGGTCTCTAAACTCCGCTGACTTGCTGTGTAAATACTTTAGAAAATTGAGGGGCTAACGGTCTCTGGGCGCTGTGTCGGGGCCCCAGGAACGATCACCAGGGCTTTCCTCGGTCCGCATTGAGTCATCCCAAGTACAAAGCCTTCTGTTCTTTGCACCGTCTAATTGCTTGGCTTTATTGGACTTTCTAATACTCACAATAATGGCTTAAGGTAATAAAACAGCATCGACTTTTTACCCTTCAGTCAATATTCATTTATTTTTATTGATTGTCTTGCAGGTGTGTGTTTTAACTCTAATTAGGTGTATCTTTTTTAAAGGTGGTTATTTAACTCCTGTCAGAATTTCTGCTGACCATTTTCTTCCTGTTTTTAACTGTTGTATCTTCATAATAACTTTGAAGACTGTGGTAATAATATAATTAAAAGAACATTTTGTATTTTAATAAATTGTCCAGTGTTCGTAATGAAATTAATAATTTATTGTCTCCTGTATTATTTGCCAAGTAATTTTTAATATATTTTTATTTGCTAAGTTATTTAAACTATTTTATGATGGCTAATTTTGTTGGGAGACCAAAATGAGATACTCATAATCAGAAGGTTGATATGCATTTAAAATGTGTTTTATTCATAAGAAATTAAAACATTGTTAAATGTTGTAAAGTTATAGGACAAAATGGATAACTTTTGTATGAGCTTAAATTTGAATAGTGGACCTAAAATCTAAAGTTAAACAGTGTCAGTGCATTGCAGTTTTGAATCTAGTTACAGGTTTCCAGCAGTATTTGAAAGTATGTTCCTATGCAACCTTTCACAAGCCCTAAAGGTGTAAAGCAAAGAAGCAGCCATCATTATTGTATGGGAAACAATTTTTAGTGTTCTCTCACTCACTGCCATCTAGTTGATTCTGACTTAGAGTGTCCGTTCAGTGCAGAGTAGAACTGCACCTGTGGTTTCCGAGGCTGTGAATCTTTCCGAGAGTAGAAAAGTGGCTAGTGGTGTCTAAATGCTGACCTTGTGGGTAGCAGCCCAATGCATAATCCACTATGCCACCAAGGGCCCCCGGAATACCTTAGGAACTATGTTGTTAACAAACTAACAAAATAAATTGAGATAAAGATAGATACTCATAGACATAGGTTAAAGCTATGACGACTTGGTGCTGAAACGTTGAGTGTAATTCTTGGGGAAGGAGCCTATCAACACCACTCTGGCTAATGCACCGAGCCTCTTAGGCTAGCTGGAAAACAAATGCAGAAATCCTCTTCAAACTTTTGGAATAGCAAAAACAGGTGGGTCTTTTGGAAAAGTTCAGAGACTTAAGGCAGATTGTGGAAAAGCAGAGGATGCCTGTATTTGCGTGGTATACTCAGGTTAGGATCTAGATAGCACTGTAACTTCCACAATCATCATTTTGAGCAATCTGGAATTTCAATATTCTGTCTTTCAAGATAGAAAACAAGATATCACAATGTAAAATTATAATGTGTTTTTTGTTTAAATACTCTTATTGAGATGTATCTTTAAAAGAACACTTGAAAGTCTTTTGACACAAACACTCTTGTTTTATTAGTTTTGGTTTTCATTTTTATATTTATTTTTACCTTAGTGCCTATTTTTGAAGTTTGTTTGTTTGTTTGTTTGTTTTTCCTCTTTGTTTATTTAGCTTCCTGGGAGTTGCTTATTATCTTCCTTGAAGAAACATGAAGCCCCACTATGTTGCTGTGCTTACTCCAGCCATCCTGATGTTCCTCATGTGGACCCCTGTGTCGCTGAGTTGCAACAAAGCACTCTGTGCTAGTGATGTGAGCAAATGCCTCCTTCAGGTAGGATGAAGAGGACCTCTTTCAAACAAGCTGAAATGCAGGGAGGACAGGTAGACTTCAGGCCTGAGTCTTCACCAGGGCTGGATGTACCAGGACACCCTCATTTTGGATGTTCACCCTCTCCGTTCTCTTGCATATAAGTAAGGTCAGATTCAAGATGCTCAGTATCCTGAATCAATAAACATGCTATTACAAGCCAGTGAGCCCTCAGTTCTAATAAAAAGATTCCCTTCAGTAATATAGATTATATAACGAAACAGCTCAATTATATGTAGAAAAATTAGCTAGTCATGTAAGAGACAAATTGTACCCTAGGTGGATCCTATTGCTATCTTAACAAAGGACCCAAGACTTAGTCACAATGCAACAGTGTTAGTTTCTGAGGGAAGGAGTGCAGGAGCATTTTAGCTGGATGGTTCTAACTACCAGGAGGTTACAGTCAAATTGTTGGTTGGGACTAGGGAATCTGCCTTTAAATTTTTAACAACTATCTCCCTTTTTATCATCAAGATAAACATGTTAGTGTAGCTACAACTTTCAATTTTCTAAGGAGGAAACAGGGTAAGTCATTTGATTCAGATTATGCAGCTAGTAAGTGGCTGTGGAACTTGGTTTGGGTTTGACTCCAAACCCATAGCCTTTCTCCTGTGTGTACTGATTATGTTCCCCTCTGTAAAGATGTGTCCGTTAGTGGCAGACGTCGTGCCTTGCATGGCTGTTCTCTCTTTCCTCCGTGTGTAGACCGTCAGCACCCTTTTAGTCTGTGTGTCTTTCTCTGCAAGGAGCTCTGCTGTGAGCTAAGACATTCAGGAGCCACACATACTAGACTTCTTTGTCGTGTCTGAGTTAGCTGACTCTTGACTGTAATCCTGATCTGAGAGCATTTGTGGGTATGTATGCACTAGAAGTGGTCACTGTTTCCATGGACCAGAGGCATTTTTTTAACAGTTTTATTGGCACTTCATCCACACATCACACAATTCAATAGTTTAATCATATCAAGAAGACGTGCAATCATCACCACAATTTTAGAACATTTTCTTTTTTTTCATGGTTAAATCGCTTTTAAAATGAGTCACCATCAGTTTTAGTTCTACCTCCCCCTCCCACATACATTGTTTGCTCCCTCAATCCCCTCACCCTCCCTATCTCCCACCCTCCAATCCTACCTACCCTATAAATTCTTGCATCCGCATCCGTTAATATCTCTATGCATCTACTCCTTCTATGCTTCATGAACTGGAAAACCCAACAGAAACAGTAAAAACAGAAACAAAATAAAATGGTAAGGATAAAATAAGAATAATAATACAAAGATAAAAATACAGATAATGAGTAATAAAGACCACTATCAGTATTTTAAAAGCCAGGGAAGAGATTTTTGTCATGGAACAAGCAAGAAGTATTTGCACCTAGAACATTTTCACGTTGGGTCAAGAGGGAGATCCACTAAGTATCAAGTTCGATCCAGTGTAATCATGATTACAATGATCTCTATCTTGTAGTAAAGCTGTTCTAGACCCTTGCCTGTGGCTACAGAGGATCTGTCAGAGGCTTAATCTGACTAGATACTCTGCAGATGGGTTTGGACTCCTACAATTTGGGTGTGTGCAATTTAAGCTCTGATACCTTTCCCTTTGTCGTATTTGAATTTTGTTATTGTCGTCTTTGCATCACACAAGCTGGTGCTTCTTCCATGCTGACTTAGTGGATTCCTCATATTTAAGATCCCAGACACTATTCTGATTGACACTCGGTCATCTGCTTTCTTCCCCATACTTTGCTGTAGCACCCTTACCTTCATTGGTCATTTCATGAAGGTGAGTATTGGGCAGGGCCATGTTATAGAACTAACTGTTCTTGGATTACTGCTAGAGTTCAGTGGGGGCCCAGAATCCATCTGCTTGTCTGTGGGATATGCACGACTCAAGTTTACTTTGGCATGTGTATTATGGCAAATTCAAAACCCCGTAAGACCAACAAGGGCAACAAACCAACTAGCAGATAGCAAAAGACAGACAAAAACAGGCCACCTAAAGGCAGGAAAACGAACAGCCATAGAAACAGAAAAGTAAAACACTGTCCATCATCCCCCAGGGATATGAGACGATTGCAGTTGTAACATCATCAGTTTTTCCAATGACACATCATGGTGGACACTAGGTGTGAGGAGTCTGTGCAAGTACAGTTCCACCGTGAGCTGCAACCCATGAGTTGTTGCTCCACACAGTTCCATCTTCCATTCCATTGAGCTCTGTGTACCCCAAGTGTGGGGATTGGTGCCAGGAGGAAACTTCCAGGGTCAGTGCTTCAAGTTCAGATCCCTGCCCAACAGATCAAGACCTGTCATGTTGCTGCGTGGAGCAGGGGCATCAAGGTACTAAATATATGGTGATTCTGGGTCCCTTTCCATTGGACACTCCGCCAAACCGGGGGTTCCCCCCAAGGCCCAATGGTTCCCACTTCCGCAGATCCAGGGCAGCCACTCGCTGCTGACCAGAGACAGTTTTCTCACTTCTGACCTTTTAGCCTTCTAGTTAACAGCTAAAAATCTAGGAAGCCCGATCTCTATGTAAGTTTCCACTATCTCAAACTCTGCTTATCTTTACCTTGCATTTCAATTCAAAACATTTAACTAGAGAAGTTTATTGGTTTGTTTTTTTTAAACATCTCTACTATGGAGATTTTAAAGCACAAATGGGAGAAAGAATAATACAGTGGCATCAACATTACAATAGTCATCTCATAGCTACTCTTGCTTCATCTATGTTCCCTTACACTGTCCTCTAAATGTATTTCATTTTAGGCAAATTCCTGATGCTATTTTATCTATATTCTAATATGTATCTCTAAAAGATAAACCAAGACAAACCCACTGCCATCCAAATTTATGTCTACTCACAGCAACCGTACAGAACCACATAGGGCTGCTGCTTTGAGGATTAAATCATTACAAGAAGAAACAATAATAGCCCATAGCTTCATTTTTCTCCTGTGGAGCTGCTGGTGGGTTTGAATGGGCAACCTTGCAGCCCAAAGCTTAATCCCGCATGTCATCTTTCTCAATCCCCTATGGTGCCTTTCTAAAAGATAACATTTAAAGCAGTACTAGATCAATATCACAATCGAAAAACGAACAGTAATTCTTTAGCATCGTGTTATTATATGCCTGGAAATTTGATAGGGCACTTCTCCGCAGGTTGGCGCTGGCTAAAAAGTTGTGGCTCGCACATGAAGTGCAGCTCTGTGTGATGAAGGGAGTCCTTGCCACCCCTAGGTCTTGTAGTGCAGCTTCATTATTCATCCTGAGGAAGTCTCATATACTCATATATCTGTGTTCGGGTGGCAATTCATTTTAACCCCCAGTAATTTTTTTTATTCTTTTAGTTCTAATTAAATTTCATTAGCTCACATAATTAAAAATGAAAACAACTTGCTTTGTAGGGGTATATTTCAAATAATTCTTTTGATTAATATATATTAATACCTTTAATTCTTTTTATTAATATTGAACATTTTCAAAGTGGCTTGGGGGTTCTATTTGTATTTCATTATAATGTTTACAAAAGAATTTTAAAAGGAGATTATTATGTAAATATAAAAACTGTGAGATCAAATGAAGCTTTACCTGTTATCTCAACATGGTGATTCTAGAAGCTAGGTTTTACTGTTTGTCACTAACTTACTGAAGCTAACATTTCTGACATCCTGTTCCTTCAGAGACAGAACTGTCAGACCTTTTCCTGGAGTGATGGAGACAACGTTTCTGATCTATAGTGGCAGAGAATCTGGGGTTAAAAATATCCAGGGCTAGAGAAACGAGGTGAACTGTGATTACTCGCACCATTGGAATCATTTTAGGGACTCCAGAACCCTGAACTTTCGTTTCTCTGTGCTCTTACTATTTAGGGTTATGTAACAAGCCACCCCAAGCCATTTATTTTGCTCACAAATATGCATTCTAAGGAGGGAACCACTTAAATTTACTGCCCACAGCATTTGCTAGGGTGGCATGAAGCCTGGTGTTACTTGAAGCGTCTTTCTGCTGTAATAGATGAGTACATAGCTTACCTAGCATTCGAACTTTCTGCAATGGATGGAAATGGTGTATATGTGCCCTGATAATGTAAGGCAGACACAATACACTTTTCTTGAGTTAGCAGCTTAATGCTTAACCATTGCTCCTCAAATGTGTGGCACTGTTAAATTGTTCATTTAAAGTTAAGAATGATGCAGGAAAAGCCTAATTGAGAGATCGTGTATGTGGCTCATGGATTGGAAGGTGTCACTGGAGGCCTAGGGAAAACCTTGGTATTGATATGTGTTCTCTGCCCTGAGGCTAAATGTTTTCTTAAATAGTATGTTTTGATTAACTAGTTTTATTGGGAATGGATGGATGTTAGGTGGATTCCTGTTTTTGTTTGTTTGTTTGTTTGAGTGTGGACCTGGTTGGGTATTGTGTGTTATGTGTAATAGGTTATGTGTTGGGCTGATAACCACAGGGTCAGTAGTTTGAACCCAACATCTGGTCTTTGGGAGAAAGCTGAGGCTTTCTGCTTTTGTGGAGATTTCCAGCCTCAGAAATCCCCAAATCTCCTGGGTCAGAATGGACACAGGGGCAGTGAGTAGAGTTTTAGCCCCGGTGAGTTAGAATTGACTCAAGTCAATGAGCTTGGTTCTGGTTGACTTTGACCGAAACTTGAACATTACAACCCTCTTTTCAGCCCTGTTTTAGTCCACTGAAGAGCAGATTGACAGTTGGAATTTAACTAGAGCTCTTGGGCTTCTCAAGGACTTAAAAGAATTCTTATAGTTAGATTAAATATTATGAATACATGGTTTTCTGGGGGTAATGTCCATAACTTTTTATAGGGGTTTGGGTTAAGAATTGCTAGGGTTTTGCTTTCCATTTCAAATACTAAGTTATCATCAAAATTCCAGTTTCACATTCAGGGATGTGCAAGGCACATTGACATTTTCTATGAAGATAATATTTCTTT